TTAAATATCGCGTTATATTGTTAACACGAGAGGATTAAATTGAGTCACAGAGAAGTTAGAACAAGAAGAATTATGAAAGGTAAGTTTTACAAAGTAAAGTTTATAAAAATATCCCGAGATATATACAGAGAATATCAATATTATTCACAGAGAAGATAGATTCACAGAGAGAGCGTTCAACACTAAAATTAATTTCTATTAAGAATATAAAGTAAGAAACATCTTGAAGTACATATAAAGAAATGCATACATATAAATATACTTTGGCGCTGTTTAATAGCACAGAAATAGACGCTGCTGTAGAAATTTAGAAAAGAAATTTAGTGACACATAAAATGCGACATAGAGATTTGCAGCAAGACCGTGCCGATCCTCCTTTCAACGGAGCTACCTTAAGATCCACTTTGCCATTTTCAGCCTGCTGAAGCTGTTTCGGATCCTTTGCAACCGGTTTAAGCTGAATCCCCTGAAAGGTATCGGTTTTAACTTCCTGTTTCGGCGGTATGCGGAATTTCGGTTTGGTCTGGGCGGCATCCTTCGGCTGCGTTAATACATTATTTTTAGGAAAAAAAATTCAGTGTGAAGTGTGAAAGTATGTGAAGTATATGTCTGCTCGGGGTGGCACGTCAAAATCTATTTTTCCAAATTTTCAGATAATAAGAAATGCACAAAACTTGCTATTCTGATAATATTAATTCTATGATACTAAATAAAATCTTATAATATGCACAAAATAAAATATTATATAGAGCACTCATCTAATGCTAATATTTCTACAACTAATTTCGTTATTGTTTCTACTTCTATTATAGACGATACATTGGACACTACTTTGAACGACACAAAGACGATACTTTGAACGATCATGAATAAATGTGACAAGATAAATGGGCTTACCTTAAGTTCGACTTTCTCTAGTGTTTTCTTCTCCTCCTCGAGTTGCTTGAACAAATAAAAGCAATGTTAGCACATTATTATTTTAGTAAATAACTATATTCATATATGAAAATAATAAAATCGCAAAATTTTCTATAAATTTAACGCTCAGCAAAAATATTATATTATTTGAAATATTTTCTGACTTTTTTAGAAATTATTTTTTTATATAAAATTATAATAATTACCTTGACAGACCTTAGACTTTTTCTCCTGACCTCTTCCTCTTTCTACAAAACAGAAGTATAGAAATTTATAAAGTATTTTTGTGCAATTTTCTTTTTTGAGAAATACAGTTTATCCAATTTTAAATTTATACCCATTCGTATGTAATTATATTATTTGTATGCTTGTATATGTGTCATGTCATGTGTACCTTGGGTTCTTCTAGTTTAGCCGTGGGTTTTGGTGCAGGTTCCTCTTTCTACAAATAGCAAAACTTGCTGTATTTCAGTGTATTTCTTCTTATTCATTGAAAATTATGTTCAAAATTATTACGTTGTTTAATGTATGTTTTTGTAAAAATAGTGGCATAAGTGTACCTTCACTCCTTCCGCTTTGGGTTTAGCTTTCGGTTCCTCCTAAAAGTGTACGTGTAATATTTAATTAAAGATCGTATATGTGTGTGATAGAAAAACAATCTAAAATCTTGACTAGTAATTTTCATATTATTGTAATGTTTTGTGTACCTTTGGTTCGTCTGGCTTAAGTTTGGCCTTCGGTGTCTCCTAAAAATGTACGGCTAATATTTAGTAACTGTATTTTACTTTTTCATATTGTGTATCGTGTTCGTCGTATCTGTGCGTATTTGTAAATTTAAGTGTTTCGTTTACCTTGACTTCCTCAAGCTTAGCCTTAGGCTTTTCTTCGACCTAAAAGTGTACCAGGTAGGTTTGTATAATATTCACGTATGTACATATGTAAGTGTAAAGTGTAAGAAATAATTGTAAAAATATATCGTGTACCTTGCTTTCTTCTAATTTCGGCCTGAGTGTCGATGTTTGCTAAAAGGTGTGCGTTGTGCTTGAGTATCGTACTAATTTTACCTTATTTTAATGCATATTTGAAATTATAGTTGTAAAAAAATGATAGCACAATTTAAAATCTTTTGTGTGCATTCTGAAAGATAGCGTAGTGTAAATGTACCTTTACTTCCTCTGTCTTAGGTTTGGTTTTCGGTTCTTCCTAAAAGTGTATACACAAAATAAAACAAAATTTTTTTTTTGTGTTAATCATTATAGTATAGAATATTTTTTATCATTATAAAAAAATATAGCCGTATGGCAAGTGTTTCATGTACCTTTGGTTCATCTGGTTTAGGCTTAGCCTTTGGCGTTTCCTAAAAGTGTACGAGTGTTAAAACACTTTCTATTTGGTATATTTTTATTCGTATTTGTTATATAAATCTTTTTTCTGAATATTTTCTGAATGCGGTATTTTCCAACTGCAAACTGTATTTGTGCAATTGTAGGTGTACCTTTACTTCCTCAGCTTTAGGTTTGGCTTTTGGTTTCTCCTAAAAGTGGATGTGTAAGTTAAATGTTATCTGTACGTGTAAACGTTTATTTTTTTTATTAATCGCTATAATATAAATTGCAAAAATCAAAATTGTAAAAAATGTGATATAAAGTATTTCGTGTACCTTCGGTTCGTCTGGTTTAGGTTTGACCTTTGGTGCTTCCTAAAAGTGTACGAGTAGTGCTTAATACTGCCTCTTATTTGTCTTCATGTTTTTAATTATATTTCTCGTGTTTTGTTACTTGTTCAAGTGTATATTGTTGCAAGATAGTAAATGTGTAAATATACCTTTACTTCCTCTGCTTTGAGTTTGGCTTTTGGTTCCACCTAGAAATGTTGGAAACGTGTTTAAAATATGGACAGAAATGTTTTAAGTCACACGCTTATGGCACGTTGTTAATATGTTGCTGATTTCCAAAATATATATTGTAATATTTTAGAGAAAATATTATAGCTTATGAATTATTTTCGTTTTAATTGTCGCTTTGCAGTGTGTTAATGTCGGTGTTAAACAGAAGTGAATGCAATATTATGCGAATATAATGTGATAACTATTTTGTATACCTTTTTCTCTTCCAGTTTAGATTTAGGTTCCTCCTAAAACGCAGTAATAGTGTTTTTAAGATATAAATTTAACCTTTTGTATTTTGTTCTGAAGGCGCCAAACGTAATTATAGAACATTTAAAATATTTCAAATAAATCAATCATGATGAAAAACTTCGTAGATGTGTATTTATTTTTGTATATGAAGTGTGTTTTGTGTACCTTGGGTGTTTCCGGCTTTCCGAGGGTTTTCGATTTCGTGGTCAGTTCCTCTTTCTAAAAAATATTTGTATATTGTAAGATTTATATATTGCGAGGGTGCATTCCTGTTTAAATATGTGTAAAATATTTAGAAAATAAATAGTAAAAATATAAACGTTATAATTAACAAATATGTATGAATATTTCCATCGATTTATCAGCATTTTATGTGCGTTTTGCAGAAGTGTTACGCATGAAAAAATTGCATGTTAATACAATATTAATAATAATATATTGCAAGCATATAGCAACGCTGCAATAATTAATAACAAATATTTACATTTATTATACAAATAATTAAATATTACATTTCCTGTATTGAGATACGAAATTAGAACCCTAGCTCTCATATCCTTATATTTGCGATAATTGCAATCTGCATTGATAATGTGTATTCGTGTACCTTAGGTTCATCCACAGGTTTAGGTTTCTTCTTCTTTGGTTTTAATACTGGTTCTTGGTCCTAGACAATATTTATAATCAACAAAACTATAAAAATTTAGAAGAAAAAGAAGAAGAAGAAGAAGAGGAAGAGAGACTTGTTGCAAAAATAACAGCATAAAAATGCTTCATATAGTTCGTTAAGTTGATAAAAAATGTCAAGTATGTCTGCGAAGAGAAGAAATAGTTCCGATGATTATATTCCAAGAAAAGTATTGAAAAGCGTAATGCAGAAAGAGAGAGGAAAGAAATAAAAGATATTAAAGATTATGCGACAACAGAGTGGAGAAAGTCAATGATTAGCACTGACAGAACATGAAGATCGCTCTATACCTCGGATCCTTCCGTTGACTTAGTCGACGACCTACGTCTAGTAGACAGCTTTTTCTAAAATTGTATATAAAAATAGAATAAAATAAAGCTATTGGCTTTTAAAATATATAATCGCGTATTTAAAGTGTAAAAATTGCCATTTATACCTTAGGTACTTGTTCCTTGTCAAGTGTAGAGTCAGTGTATTTACTCTAAAATTAAAAAAAAATCGACGTTATCGAAATTTCTCATGTGTTGTATGTGTCTGAATGCGTGTATATATGTAAGTGTACCTTGATCTCTTTGGGTTTGTTTTCGTCTATTTCGCGTGCGGATATATTGCCCTCCTAAAATAATATAAAAAAATCAAGCTTCTATTCGAAAAGTGAATTATTCTTCGCAACTAATGGCTACAATAAATAAATATTTTATGTTTAATATTAAAATTGCGTTTTACAAAATTTTTAAAATAATAATTACCAAGTATAAGTAATATTTAAATAATGAGTATTTAAATAAATATAATTATTGATTAAGTATCGGTTATTCTAAATGTGAGAGCGTGAAAAGTGTATACCGTAGGTTCTTTGAGTTTGCTTATGCTGCTTCTAGGTTTGGGCAGGAAAGGTTTAAGTGCAGGTATAGGTGTAGTTTCCTGTAGATATCATATACAAATTTTAAAAAATTACCGAAAACCGAAATAACAAATTAACATTAAAATGTTTTCTGATATACGAGTATTTGTGTAAATGTGTACCTCAACTTCGTCACCACTCTTGTACGGTGTAAATTTGAAAACCCGTGAGTCCTAAAAGATACCGACAAAAAAATTACAACTCACTCTGTGAATAACAAAAGTAAAAATAAATAATAAAATATAATTCCTCTGTTCTGTACCTCCAATTTTCTAATAGGTTTAGGCGCGTCGTCCTCAGTTCTCGAAGCCCAAATATCCTACGATTGCATATTATTTTATTATATTAATCAGCACAAAAATAATATAATAAAAAATTATATAGTGCTTTTGTAAGTGTATTTTGTACCTCAATGTCGTCGTTAGATCCATAGGTTTCCGGTTTAGTGATAGGTAAAGAAACATTCTAAAAAAAATTAATTAAAAAATAATTAAAATAAAACAATAATTTAAAAAATTCTTACATCATTTGTTTCATTATCTATTTCATACGTATGTGTGTGGGCTTGTATGTGTATACCTTATCGACTGTAACGGAATTCTGTTCGCGCTCGGTGGATTTTGGGGGTGCCCATACATCCTAAAATAATATACCAATTAAAAAAAATAATATATAATAAATTTTGCCGAGCAATAAAATTATAAGCGCTGTCTATGTATAACTAACGTAATTATAATGCGTGTAGTATGTTTTAACATCTCGATCGAGTGGAGATTTGTGTGGAGTGTTTGTAGAGTTTGCATCCTAAAATAACAGCATAAGTTACCGATGTTTCACGAAAATGAGTGAGTGTATGATGGAAAAAAAACAAATTGTGTAAAGTGTCATATGCATTTGTGTTTGTGTACCTCATGGTGTGAGACAGGTTTAGCGTGTTCCTTTGTTTTCGGCATCAACTTGTCCTAAAATTTTAATAGCACTTTAATTCGTCTCGCATATGCGCAAAAATCAATATTATATTTTTTAACAAAAAAATAGTATACTATCGATTACTCTATAATCAATAAATAATATAAACAAATAAAATTTAATTAATTACTGTAATATTATCTACCTCATCATACGTGGGTTTGATTACGCCCACTTTTTGTTTGTCCAAAGATGTGTTATCTACTTCAGTTTGATCATTAGGTTTCGATACGCGTCGCGCAGTCTTAGTTTGCGGTATATCCTATAATAATGATACTTTTATATCTACTATTTTACAGATATATACAAATAATTTATTTAGTGTACCTCATCAGTTTTGTGTAATCTACTTTCACGATTTTTCTGCTTGGGCCAAATATCCTAAAATTATCAGTATTACAAAATATGTGAAAAGAATCTGTGTAACGTGTAATGTAATGTGTAATGTGTACCTCGATTTCTTCGTCGGATTGACGACGAGATGGTTTATCTTTAGTTTTGGACAAATCCTAAAATAATATCGCTATTTAATTACTGTAATTCCTATAAATATATAGTTTAACGTCATAATAATAATTTTTTCTTTCTATATATATGTGTATGTGTGTGTGTTACATAATAAGTATAAAAACATTTTGAATGTCGTAATGTACCTCGTCTTTTTTGAGAAATTTGGTCTCTTCCTTCCGCTTAGACCATTTATCCTAAAAGCGTCAGTGTTAAAAAATATATTAAAATAATTGGCGCAATGTGTGTAATGTGTAGTATGTAATGTAATGTAAATGTAATGTGTACCTCGTTTTCCTCATCAGATTGACGATGAGATAGTTTATCTTTAGTTTTAGGCAAATCCTAAAATAATAATACATATTAGATATTATAAATTCATACCATTCATGTACAATTATTTAAACAATAAATTTGCATACTTTGTCATATTTTTTAGAATCAATGTCGCGCTCCTTTGGTTTCGTCAACCGATTATCCTACAATATTAATATTTTGTAAATATGTGTGTAATCCCTACATCTAATAAAACGTATAATACTCTATAATGTATATTAACATTGTGTTATGTGTGTACCTCAATTACTTCATCGGTTTTGCGTGGATGTGTTTTGTGTGCGGGTGTATCATGTAGATGTGTTTCCGGCACTTCGTCAACTTTTTGTGAGTGTATTTTAGCAGTAGGTGTATCGCGCAAAAGTGTTTTCTCTTTTGGCACTTCATCAGTTTTGTGTGGTTGTATTTTAGCTAATGGTGTGTCATGTAAAGATGTTTTATCTTTCGGTATATCCTAAAAAGGTATTTAAAAAGTGTTATATCCTCTTTTGATTCCTATTCGATTATATAAACCTAATTATATATGCATAATAATTAATTAATTAATTCGCGTACTTTGTCATGTTTCTTGGAATCGACATCAGATTTCGGTTTAGTCGACCAAATATCCTAGAAATATTAACGTTTTGAATGTGTATTTATATATACACGCAACAATACGAATGAGACGCAATGAAAACGACGCAATATGTGTTATATACCTCAATCTTTTCGTCAGATTTCTGTGGCTGTGTTTTATTTGTGGCTGTGTCACGTGTTTTATCTTTCGGTTTGACTTCGTCAGATTTCTGAGGTGGGTGTGTTCTACCTGCGGGTGTGTAAGGTTTGTGTGGTTCTGGCGATGTATCCTAAAATAATATTATATCCAAGCGTTATATTTTTTAAATTATGTAATACATATTTATGTATATATATATATATATTTCTTTTTTTTTGCATACTTTATAATGTGGCGCAGATTCGTTATCGCGTTCTCCCGGATTATGAATGTTCCAAGCATCCTATAAAATTAATAGCGTCCATAAAATGTGTAACGCGCATAGAATATTCACTTGTACTGTATAATTTTTTTTTTTTTATACCTCAAGTTCATCATACGAATCGCGCACGCTTGGCTTAATCTCAACTTGAGGTGCGTCCTAAAAAATTTAGCATTACGTAATCTCAAACATTAAAAAAATATTCTTTTTTTTTTATAGAAAATTGTATATAATTATGTCTCAATTATATAACGCGAAATATATACCTTGGGTATGCGATCAGTTTTACGTATGTTAGAAGTTCTAGACTTGATGGTTTCCTATACAATAATATTTTTATTTGTTGATTTCATATATCTTAAAATTTGTGCAACGATAAGTGTGTCACGTAATTTCTTACCAATTTGTTATCGCGCTCTGCCGGTTTAAACAACCAAATGTCCTAAAATGTTTGTGTAATATATATTGCTAATGTATGAGTAATGTGTACGAGTAGTATGTGTTTTTATGTACCTGAATCTCTTCCTTGGGTTTATGTGTGTGTGGCTTGGTCGTCGGTGTGAGTGTGTTCTAGAAAGATAGTCAACCCATTATGAAATGTAACCAAAAAATAAAAAATAAAATAATGGTTGTAATTATGTACCTCGTCATCAATCGCTTGCAAAATAGCTTTTGGTTTGAATACGGAAGCGTCCTGCAACGACGTGATACACTTAAATTTTTTTACATCGTGCTTTTTTGTGCATGAAGTCTAAATGCAACATAATCTATCTAATTTTGTGTCATTTTCGTGTCCAAAACTAAAATTATATAACTTTTGGCATATCAATTGCAAAATTATCTACACGTTTAATGTTCTACACAAAAACGAAAACTAAACTACGTACAAAACTATCTTTAGGAACTGCTTGAAGAAAGACAAATATTACATAATTTGTTTTAATTCAGCCTGGCAAACAATCAAATTAAACATGAAATTAAAAATCCCTTCTTATGTCGATTTTGAGAAGGTAACATTCACTCGTATAATACTTACTTTGTGTTTAAAAAATAATAATTAATTATAATAACTAACTATATACACTCACCCGAAAAAAAAGCGGTACACTGAAAATGTGGGAAAAATTCATCAAATTTCAACTGACGATAACTTCGTAAATAATAAAGATAGAAAGTTCTATAAAATATGGAAATGAAGCTAAAAATCTCTACTTTAAGAATCAATTTATTTCAATGTTGCAAAATAAATTTATTGAAAATGGCGGATGACAAAGCGCGAGCATGCAAAATTGAAAAATAATGGTTCGAGTTTGCGACGGTGCACGGTATAAACAAAAAATTGTAGCTTATTGGGATCAAAAGCGTACGAAAGTACAGAGTCTCCTCTTTAAAATGCTTTTTTATGCATCTCGATACGATGATTTTTCGCCGAGAAATTCGCATTTGAAGAAAAAGGCAGATTCTTACTTCAAATGCGAATCTCTCAGCGAAAAATCATCGTATCGAGATGCATAAAAAAGCATTTTAAAGAGGAGACTCTGTACTTTCGTACGCTTTTGATCCCAATAAGCTACAATTTTTTGTTTATACCGTGCACCGTCGCAAACTCGAACCATTATTTTTCAATCAATTGTTTTGCATCCGAAGGAGATGTCTGCAGATCTTTTGTGATTTCTCCGCCCTGACTTTTTGTTTATGCTCGACCGCACAT